TGCACCATTCCGATGCCTTCTGAGACTTCTGTTATCTTTGGTGCTTTTAAAAGCCATGCGCTTGGGTCTCTGTACAACCTCAAAGCTTGCAAACAACCATGTCTGCCTGGACATCAGTGACTTACATGTTCATCCTGTTGTGAAAAATGAACTTGGATGGGCTTAAGTCCTTAATTTATAAAATTGCTAACGGGTATGTAATGAAAGTCAATGGTCACATACACCTCAAAATTATCTTCTGATGGCCCCGTAACACTGTACCTAAGAGGCTTAAAAAGACGGGGAAACAGTTCAAAACTCAAGTGCTAATAGTACTTACAAAAGTGCAGTGCTCAATAGAGTGAGAAAAAAAGTGACTACTAGTACTTAAAGTGCTAGTTTCAAAGTTGGTTTGGTTCAGTGTCCAAAACACAGGTAGAACGTGGGGAATAGTGAGGGGTGAAATCAAAACCAGACAGCACTGCAACTGCACATGCCACACCAAAAGTGCTTCAAATCACACCATTGCGGAGAGAGGCATAACGCTACGGCTCAGCTTGTGAACACGGACAAGCAAATGACTGACACCTTTCAGATTACTATAAAGAACAGTTCCATTAACGCCATCACTACAGACCCATTCAGAAAGCAAGTGGTTACAGCTTATGGAAAAAAAAAACCCAAAACACCAAAACCCACCCCAACACCAAGAGTCTCTCAGAACATTTACGAATCTTTGCAACTATGATACTCAAAGTCTAGCAAAAGCAACCCTGACCAGTGTCTGCAATAAGCTTCGCTGATGCTTATCATGCACGTTACAGAGGAGTCGTGCCACAGACTGCCTCCTTTTACACGCTATCTTACAGTTAGCCTATTTACCTATTTATTTGTGGTTTGCTTGTTTTTTAGCTTTCTGACTATGCATTAAAGCTGGCTTTTTAATCTTCACCATCCTACCAGTCAAAGGACAATTAATGCAACAACAAGACAACAAAGGTGGTCTAATAAACACTGACGTTACTAAAGTCCCATATTCATTTTCATGAAAGAAAACACTCTGGAGAAAGATCAGCACACTCCTGGAAAGAGGCTGGAAAAGGATTCAGACGTCAGGCACTTCCGCTCTCTTTAAACACACACTTCCCACTGACTGCCCATTGCCTATTCTAGCTGCTATCTGCTTTTTTGTTCCCTTGTGTTGAGCTCCAAGCCCAACCCTACTTGTATACTTGTGCTGAAAAAATTACTCCCAAAGCAAAAGTGGGAAATGAAAAAGGGGAAACCAGACCTTCAAGTCTCACTCTGTTTCAGTAGACACCCCAAAACCAGGTCACTGAGTAGCATAAGTGGCTCCCCAGGCCCTGCATGCATTGCTGTCAACTCTCCCAAGGCAACATCTGGTGCATTTGAGCTGGGTACAAATCTTTTGGAGAAAGTTCTTTCTGAAACAGAAGTACTGACTTGCTGGACTTGGCTGGGTATATTGGGCATGCGTCAGATACAGCAGTGGACATTTTCCTAATCGGAGAGCAGGAGGTGGTTTTTCAGAAGCGGGTAATGCTAACACCATAGGGGCAAAAAAAAAAAGTTGCAGACCCAGGTCACTTATTTCTACTAATGCCACAAAGGCCAAAAGTAAGGGCATGCTTCCAGGGACTATGGATGTAGATCCACCTTTGCAGACATACAAGTGGAAAGAAAGGAGCCTGGAAAAGATATGAGAGCTGGAAAAATACTGGAGATTGGCAGTGCCCCGCAGCGAGGAGGGCTTGTGATTTCTGCAGGCATACAGTGGGGAAACACAACCATCACAGTCTGCAATCCACGTAAGAAAACTGCAGACTTGTTGCCAAAGCCAGCACAGTCTGGGGAGAGCCCAAGACCTTGCCATGCAACAAGGAACACTTCCATCAGTGAAAGAAAGTGACCACTACAGGGGAGAAACATTCCAGCTGGCACACCACAGCTTTATTTTAAAGGATGGCGAAGTCTTGCAGGATGAAAAGCAATTGTTGAGCATTATGCTGGGCAAAGAAGCATCTTGCAGGACTGGATTCAAGCCTGATCTTGCAAGACTGGCATGCATCTCCATTTGCTATATGTAGGCACTAGAGTAATATTTGGTTTAAGTACTGCTGACCTCAACACTGAGACCAAACCCAAACATTGGATGTATGGAAAATTTACCAGCCTGAAAAACAAATACCAAAACTGCTTGTTTTCCAGATCTTTTTATAACATGTTCTTTCCCGTCTTCCGATTGCAAGGGTTATTGGGAAAATTATTTGGAAGTGGATAATAAATCTAATGCTAAGACAGCAAGTCAAATTACACAGTAATTTCCTGCACTGCTCTCACAAGGAAGCTTTCACATCACACTGTATTTTTGCTGCTTTAGTTGGTCTTAAGAACACACCATTGACTATATCTCCATGTCTGAGACCCTCTGCAATTTTGCCTCCTCCTGGACTGACAACCCTGTTGAATTTTTAAGAAGAAAAGCTACTACTACAGGTTTCCTGGGAGAAAAGGCTGCGTTCTGGTAGTCCCTGACCTCACCTGGATTTTAAAGGCATTTGTAAAATCCCGCTTCAGCTGGCACACTAGATTTCCATCTAAATATTCCTGGCAACTTTTCCAGTCTCCACAAAACAACTCAATTGAAAGTTTATTAGAAGCAGTGCTTTATTGTTGCAGGCAGAGATTTTGCTGCAGATATCTGTGTGCCACAATTAAATGCTGATTTTCAGTGGTGAAAAAATTGATTCTGAGTCACAGCCTATTGCTGCGTAAAATGCGCTCCCAGATCACTCGGTATCACAGGCATAGTACAAATGGAAGATGCAGGGTCATTTTTAATTCTGTGCTAATTATCGCAACAAAAAACAGATCCTGCAGCGGAAGACTGATGCCAGGAAGGAATAATCATCCATATTTTGTAGTTCTGGCTGTGCTGCTCAAGGAGAAGCTTATTTACAAAATGGCAATCTCCAGAAAAAGACTGTGTTGTCCTTGCCTGAAAAAGATGTATATTCAGATACGCACTGCTACTCTGGGGGTGCTCTGCCTGGGAAATTACACTTTGGAATGAAACATTATAAACTTCAAGTATGGGAAACCACCTCCTGTTGAACAAATACAAGCTGTGGGGCTAATGCAACCCACCGTACCACAGAAATGATGCTTGGAGATCTCTGCTTTAAATTTATGCTTTTGGTTTAAAGAAGAAAAATCATATGACCTTTTAATTATTTATAGGTGAAAAGATGCTTCCGATAGAAGCATCGATGATGTGTCAACCAAAATGAAATTCCAAATGCAGGCTTTCTGTGTTCTGTATGCTTACTTAAATATAGATGAGAAGCACTTTTTTCTCTCCCTGCACAAAAATGACATAAACCCACCCGTTTTTGTCTGCAAGAAAATAAAAAAAAAGCCAACCAATGTGTAAAACCATGAACCTGAAGAGTAGCTGTAAAAGGGATGAAAAAAAAACCCAGAGCAGGCATGCAATCTGCTTCTGTTCCCCCAGCGACCACTGTAGTCCCTGAGGAGGCTCTCAAACAAGATTGCACTGCCAGAGTATCTTGTGGAGATAGGAACCTGCACCATTGGGAAACGGCCAAGACCAAGTGCCTCTGCGAGTTGCAGCAGTTTCTCCTTGATGATCAAAATACAGTCTTCATCAAAGAGCAAACACATCCAAGGTGTACATGACAATCAGGGACTTTGCGACCACAACTACTGCTCCTACCTGGAGATACCACCACCACCACCAACTCGCTATGGCAGAAAGGGCTCTGCTCAGTGTCTTCCATCTTTCTTTGTTGGGTATTCACATGCATTGCTAGATACCCATGCCTCCCATTCAAAGACAGGCTGAGAAAATTTGGTCTGTTCAGCCTAGAGAAGAGAACCTGCGTGGAGACCTCATAGCAGCCTTCCAGTATCTGAAGGGGGCCTACAGGGATGCTGGAGAGGGACTCTTCAGTGACTGTAGCAATAGGACAAGGGATGATGGGTTCAAACTGAAAGAAGGGAAGTTCAGGTTAGATATCAGGAGGAACTTCTTTACTGTGAGGGTGGTGAGGCCCTGGCACAGGTCACCCAAAGAACCAGTGGCTTTCCCATCCCTGGCAGTGTTCAAAGCCAGGCTTTGAAGAGGGGCTTTGGACAAGGGCCTGTAGGGACAGGACAGGGCAGTGTTCAAGGCCAGGTTGGATGGGGCTTGGAGCAACCTGTTCTAGTGGAAGGTGTCCCTGCCTGTAGCAGGGATTGGAACTGGATGAGCTTTAAGGTCCTTTCCAACCTAAACTAGTCTGTGATTCTATGATTTTGTGATGTCCATGTCCAGCATTATGAGGCACGCTCCTGGGGGGAGTAGAACAACTCCAGTACATTGCCCTGCTGTAATGATGATGCCTGAAGATGGGAACATTGGACCACAGGGACTGCATGTTGAAAGCAAAACATTTTATTACTATCGGTTAAGCTTCATAATGCACACTTATCAGTAAGATAGAGGTTATATGGAGATCACTTAGCTTGCTACCAACTACAGCTTCTGGGATTAAATGCAGCAGCTGTTGAGCAGTGCGTAACAGGACCAGCAGAAAGGAAAAGAGAATAATGTACAGTTGTAACGGTGTGTGTGGGTAGCTTGGCAGAAAACAGTTGAAATTCAACCAGAAATATTTTTTTTCCTGCTGTACCAAAAGCTATAGCATCCTAGACAACAGCTGGTGACTAAGTAATGCCCTCAAAATGCACCCCTCCAACTCAACACCCAGCTCAGCATCTACCACCTCATATGGGCCTATATTGCAAATTCTGCATTGACACAGAATCACAGACTGGTTTGGGTTGGAGGGACCCTATACCTCAACTAGTTCTAACGCCTGCCATGGGCAGGGACACCTTCCACTAGACCATGTTGCTCCAAGCCCCATCCAACCTGGCCTTGAACACTGCCCTGTCCTGTCCCTACAGGCCCTTGTCCAAAGCCCCTCTTCAAATTTCTTGTCGGCCCCTAATTTAGGCACTGGGAGCTGCTCTGAGGTCTCCCTGGAGTCTTCTCCAGGCTAAAAAATCCCAGCTCTCTCAGCCTGTCTCCAGAGCAGAGGTGCTCCAGCCCTCGCAGCATCTCCATGGCCTCCTCTAGACTCGCTCGAGTAGGTCCACATTCCTCTTGTGTTGGGATGTGTGTTCTGCCATGAAGGCAGAAAGATGGATTAGAACTTGTATTTAACCTGAATTTAGTGTCATTGGTTAGCTCAGCAACAACATCTGGTGTTGATATATATGTGTGACTTTTGGTTTGCTTTCCATAAGTTTCCATGCAATGTTTTTGACAGTAAGTGCCATCCTGAGAGGGTTTCTAAAGAATGTAAGTTTCTTCCAGCACAAATGGCACTTTCAATGTAAGATCAGAAATACAGTTATCTTTCTTAGAGGTCAGAGGTCAAGAAAAAGCTATTTTGGGCTGTCTAGTAAAGAATCGCTAACATAATTTAACAGCACCAGCTTTTTTAGCACAAATCAGTTTACCTTCCAGCCAATCTTCTACAGGCAGCTCCAAATTGCATCAAACCCTATCCAGAGGAACTCTCTGTTCTGATCACTCCTTTCAGCATTACAACTCTTATTTCACATTATTTCTGCATTCATACAACATTCAAATGGGAGGGAGAAAATGTCTTCACTAGTAAAAGAGGAATCCAGCTGTTGCTAGCACAAAACTACTGATTTTTCTTCTTCTAGGAAACAGAGTGCTTGGCTGGAAAGGTGGGAAGCTCTTGGAAGACTGAAAGCCTGGAGGAGGAGACTAGTGTTTAGTCTGAGGCATGTGAAAAATTCCCATGTTTAAGCCTCTTGCATGTTCTCTTTTGCACAGCATCTTCAGTCTCGCCAAGAGGAAGAGGTCAGCTTAGGGTTTTTGAACAACCAGAGAGAGCACCTCTAGGGCTTACTGCCACAGCTCAAGGGCTGCAGTAGGAAGGAGGAGGGTGAACTTCACTTTGTCGAGAACCTGAGAAGGTGAGGAAGTTAAAAGGATCTTCCGGCTGGTCATTTCTCTTTCTCCTCCTGTGACAGAGGGACTGAGAAGGCTGCATTTCCCTGCAGGAGGGTGCTTCAGAGACTATCTCAGGGGAAGGTTTGGAGACAAACAATGGGGATGATAGGTCATCCACCCCAGAGAGCTGCTGTGGTCTCCAAAACAGCCCGCAAAGTCCAAGCCGTGGGTCAGTCTTCACTCTTTTTATCTCTTGGCTCATGTCTCAAGAGCTTGCTCCTGTACCTTTCTGCTCCTCTTTTGGGGGGCTCGCAGATACACTTTGGGGATGACATCTTCTCCTTTACAGGTTAGCTAGCAAAAGTGACCACATCTTTGCCAGGTTTGAGTTGCAGTCCCTTCCCATTCTTGGATCATCTCGGAAATGGCAAGCAGCTTTCAGAAACCATGGGCTGCTGCTGAAACCTGTGTGTTGTCTAAAAGGGGATAAGCAAATTTAGGGAGGTTACCCCTACTTTAGAGGATGTCTCCTAAGAGCAGAAAAGAGGTGAGAAAAGCAAGTTTGCTGCTGCAGGGAGGAGAAAGCAGGCAGCACGTCTGCCTTGTGCTCTGGATTGGGGTGTTTCTTGGGGTTGCACACATATCAGCACGCTGCCAAATAAACTGACAATTTTAAGCTGTTTTTAAAAGTCTCTCTAATATGTCTTCATGAAGACAATCCACAGTTAAAAGCTGGCAGCATCCATGAAAATGTTCCGCTTTGATGGTGCCTGGTCCTGGTGTCTCCTTGCATTATCCAGAGCCAACACAGGACTGTAAGAGAAAGGAGACCTGGCAGAGGCACAGCTCTTATCTCAACATCTTCACACACAATTTGCTATGGGTACGCTCATCCCATGTACCCTAATTTACTAACCCACATCAAACCTTTGGGTCGATTTCCAAACTGATGTGGAAACAGGAAAAAGGAACTCTAATTATTCTGCAACCAATTTAAATGTCCTGGGGAGGATGAAATCCTGGCAACATTTAGCTGGAGATGCATAATTCCAGACTGCATCTTAATTCTGCTGAAGTAGAAAAGAAAGAAACGAAATTAAGGTTCCACATCACAAAGGATCCAGGCACAGCATCAAGTTGTGGTGAGAAGCAAGAATCAAAGCTCAAAGCAATATCTGTAGCAGATTTTATCCATGGGGAAGCTGTTGTATGTTGTCTACAAGTGAGATGCTGTGTGCTAGCTGCTTGGAGGAAGCAGCTAGCCTACAACAAGCATATGACCAAATCTGCCCCAGGCAACTGGTTCATGCAACCCTACTTGACATGAGAATGATCACAAACGGAATGGCTGTGAGGTTAAGTAACTACTCCTTTGCTGCAGCATCACCCCAAGCCCCACAAGAATCTGCTTCAGCATAGAGTTAATATCTCCCAAAGCCCCACTGTCTGTGCAATGGCTGCAGAAGCAGATGAGAGCTGCAGGACAGCCTTTGTGATCCATGGAATGGTTAAGGCTAAAGGACACACCACAGTGACACACAGAAAATGACCAGTTGAGAAAAATATAACCAGATATATATCTTTTTGTCCTACATTGGCTGCAAAATGCAAGGGGATGGAGGGAACTGAGGCCCATTTGGGCTTTGATAACAATTCCAGATAGGTTCATAAGCAAGGGCTTAAAAAGAAGTAGTGAATTTCTGAGGGAAAAACAGATTTAGAGCTCTTGACATGAACCAGACTGATAAATAACTCTTAGTAGTCAAACAGCTGTCAACTGAAGAGGAACAGAACAACCAGGACTGGGCCCTGTGAGCAAAGCAAGAAGAAAATGTCCCTATACACTAAGCCATATAAATATCTACAGCGGTTGCTACCCGTGTTGTTATAGTGCCCTTGATGTTTTGCAATCAGGTGGAGCAAGAAATAAAATGCCAGTTTAAAGGATGTGCTCTGAGATAAGAGGCATGATTGGTTCACCTCATAAAACACAGTGCCTATTCTCAGCTTTTAAGTGTTTGAGCCAAAAAACTTTCTCTAATTTTACCAGGATGGGAGGGATTATTAAAAATGGTTAAATTAAAAAACTTCACCACTAGCTACAGTGATGTGTACAAAACCTTCAGGAATGGCCTAACAAAACCTTTTGTACCTCAGAGAGAGACTGATCACAACAACAGAAGACACTACAGCTTTACAGGACTTAAAAGTAAAATAATTTTTTATAATGAGGGGTGGAACGGGAGACAGACATGTTAAATTAACCCCAGCTGACAAAATCCCCTTGCCAAAGAGCTTTTAGCAGCTAGAAAAACAGAGATGGTTTAGTCAAAGTTTTAGGGCTGGCCCCTGGGCTCAGTTCTTCTCCCCTGGTATTTACCATTGTGAATTTGCAAAAGCATCAGAGCTCGGAAGAAACATAGCAGTCTGCCACAAATCCTTCCTGGATTGGTGGACTAAATACTGGACACAGGCAAACTAGTATAATCCTGAGCCTGCCACCAAGGGTGAAGAAAGATGAGAAGGTTCTGTGTGTATTGACTGAGTTATAGGATGTAGGATAAATACCACTGCAAAGCACTGAATCAAAGCCTTGCCCTCTGTTCTTAGCTGTTAATGGCCTCTGTTCATCTCTGCTGTGATGCCTAGCTGGGAAGAGCGCTTTTAAAAGCAGCACTGGCACAATGCTACAGTTTTCAAACTCCTTTCAGGGTTTATTGGTGTCTCAGCAGAGACTGTCCTTGGAGGCAGCTCAATGTATCCCAAACAGAAATACATCTGTTGACTGCACACTGAGTATCACTTCATCCAGAGTACTGCTTCATCACCTTTCTTCTGTCTCTGTCCTTAGATTCCTCTGTCTCTGTACTGCCTCCATCCTCAGATTCCCCCTTTGAGCTTCCCAGAGGAAGAGATGGTTGTTTTACATTAGGTAGCTCTCAATCACTCAGCAGCACAAGAAACTTCTCCCCACCAAGCTCAAAGCAAAAATGACGATTTGCAAAGCAGCAACAGTCAAAGGGGAATTTCCAGACACAAACCAGCTCCTGTTCAACACCTATTATGGAGGGAAGTGATGCAAAAGCCAACACACAACATGCTTCAGCTCACCCCTGTTATTGCAGAACAGCAGGGATAATTAATTTATGTTAAAAATATCAGGACTGCACTGGCATGTTCAGCCTCTTCCCTAGGAAGAGGAGAGAAGAGAGAGCAAGGGCTACTTGGCAGAAGTTAGTCATAGGCTTAATGCACATCTGGAAGGCGCTCAGATATATGTTAAGTGATTATAGAGCAGTGTGAGAACCTACATGGAACAGGAGGAACTCCTCTGTAGTTTTCTTACACAAAAGTGCCAGATCTCCTTACAATAAAAGTGTTACTAAGGAAATTCCAATTAACTTTCAGTGCAGCCAAAGCTCCTGGGAACTGGGGAAAAAACCCAAACTCAGGGTTCTTCAGGTAATTATCTGGCATAGCTGGGTGGGCTCTGATTGCAGCACAGCCAGGAAGATGGTGACACAACCATGTTAAGACAAGACAGCTAAAAGGCTCTCTGAGTGAAATAACATGCAGCTCCCCACCTGGGAAATCAGTAGAGGGGCTTAAAACATCTCTGGAGGGAGGAAGGACATCCCTGTGGAAGACAGAGCTACCTGGGACTGTAGATGCTGAGTCTATTGCTCACTTGGGGATTATTTTTTCCCAGGTCCTGGTAATGACCTGATGCTCTGACTCTGTTCAAAAGCAGAATGAGCTCTTCCACTATGGAGTGTTTTACTGCTAGAAAGATTGGGAAGAACTGAAATACAAGTGCTGGCTGGTTTTGCTTTGAAATACTAACTTATAAGAGATGAGTAACAGACATACTGAGCTAATACTGCAGGAAATCAGAAAGCCCGCAAATGTTAAAGGAGGGAAAGATGGAGCATGGGCATGAATGATGATGGTAGGAGAGGAAATGGGAGAGGCAGAATGAGCAGAGAGGAGGGCCAGTTCCGACAAAAATCTTAGCTAAAGCTAGCAAAGTTCATGTAAATATTCTGGTGACTATTCACATTATTGCATGATGAAACTACACTTTTCTGTAACAATCCTTGGAGATTTGGGAACACAAGGGAAAGCAGGTATTTCCAAACCAACTGGCACATTTGAGAGCTTATACTGTCACTAGATGCATTCTTTACATTTGCATTTAAACAGGTATCTTGATAGTGTGAGAGTTACTGCTTCTATTATGAAGATTGGGAAAGTGTCATCATATTTAATATTTAGGAGGGTATTTAATATTTTGGAGAATGCCTGTTGATGGGCTATTTTTTCCTATGTCTAATTCAGAGATAAGCAGAGACATGAATGATAGAAAGTGCTCTGCTGCACCACCATGTACAGCAGAGTTTCTAACAGGTTTCTATTGCAAACGTTTGTAGAAAATGTATGCTCTGGCATTTTAATAGCCCAGATTTTCTAAAACTATTAAAGAAGGGTGAGAACAGAGAGAAATGTCTGAGTCAGTAGTGGCTTTACCAAAGAGGACCTTGGAGGACACAGAGTTACAAACCGGTCTGGAGGCATCAAGTAAGCTGTTGCAAAAAACCATCCTACTGAGCGGAGAAAACCTTGATTCATTTGCAACCCTTCCACTTGAAGCTGTAAAAATACCTCTCCTGATTCTGCATTCTGTAATTCTGGATTCAAGAAAAAGACAGACTCATCAGGAAGCAACAAGAACACGACGAAGACTAAAAACTACTCTTGGTGGAAGGCTTTGTATTTGTGTAGAAAAGGAGGCAGGAGAGACCTGACAACAGTCTTTAATTATGTAAAAGAGCTGCAGCAAGGAAGGGAACAAACTGTTTCCATATCTCCTCTTGAGAGCATGGCCTGTAAGACAAAAAGCGTTGGAATTAAATGGAAGCAAGGGACACAGAGGTGGACATCAGGAAAAATATCTGAGGGTGGGCAGGGTGAACCACTGAAACAGCTTGGGGAGGGAGGCTGGGAATATCCATAACTAGAGATTTAAAAAGGCAGATTTTTTACATGTTGTTCAACTTGGGTAAAATAAAGATGCTTTTTGCTGTGTAGTCCCTGGAAAGTACCATTAGAGGCACCCTTGTACTTGCAAATATAAGTTTAGAGTCAGTTTCTGCAGACTATGGAGCTGGCCTGGCTGAAAACTAGTGTGAGGAAAGGGTTGGGTTTAGCTAGTCCCACCTCTGAATATGGGACCACAAATTATGTTCTCCAGAGGTCCCTGCCAGTTCTACTGTAATACATCTCACACACTGTCCTCCTCACTTTTAGACTTCTTTGATCCTCCTTCTTGGAAAGGAAGTTGGAGGTGGAGTTCTTGAAAGGCTTGTGAGACTCCATTCAGGGTTGAAAACCAAAATATACAACTTGGCGTTACGAACAGGCCACTAATGTATCTTCATATAAACAGTGGAGAAAAAAGAAAGTTGGAAAATCGAAC